TGTTTATATAAGTCCCGTTACTTCTGTCTATTGTTGCTTGATCGTTACCTGCAAAGGTGAAGGTAGTAAGAGCACCCTTTGTAGTTTGCGGCATTATTATGGCCGCAATGATAACAAAGAGGCGGAGCTTCAGGTGCTTTTGTACACTTTTTATAATCGTGATCAGAGCCGCGTTTCACGCATCTGAACCTGCGGTTGCAGTATCGCTGGGTATACCCGTACATTTGGCACCTTAAACATTGGGGAATATTTGATGATTTTATTGGAGGCTCAAAATAAATAATTTGGTTTAACATTTTAGTCATTTTAAAAATTGACGAATTGTTTTATTTGGGTTCTATGTCTATGTAAAACATGTTCAGCAGTTGTTTTATTTTTGGGTGTATGATATTAGTAATATTTCTAACAAAATGACCTTCATTTTTAATTGCGGCTTTGATGTCATTTTTATCTGTAGCATAGTATCTAGTAAGTATGAAAAACGACTTCTCTTTCGCGCAGAAATTTAACAAATTTGCGGTAGCCATCTACTTCAAAAATGTTGAATTTGATAGTTTTATTAGGTAAGTATTTAGTGATGTATTTTCCTTTATTTATAGTTGAATTAATGTCCGTTATCAAAAGATTGTAATCACAAATCCCGTAAACAAACAAAGGCAGAGGAGTTGATTTTTTATTATCAGTTGTCTCGTTTGATGGTTTTGAAGCATTGTTTGCTAGAACGCTGAACTTTGGTTAATTTTATGAAAACTCTTACATTACTTACTGCGTTACTAGGGAGAGGTCTTTTCGCGGAAATTACCTCTTGTCATGGATTTTAATTCGTGTAATCAATCACTTTGCATGCACTGCCAGCATCCAATGTTTCTGTTGAAGACATTTTACTTGTTGATGGAATAGGTGTTGACTCCGACGATGATGATTAGCTTACGACATCATCATTATTTCTTTTTCTAGTCATCTGGTTCAGCACTAGTTAAGTAGAATTATTTTGGTTTTTGATGTTTGGTTGTTTTGGTGAATGATGTTAAATGTTTCCACAGTAGGTATTGTGGAGTGATAATTTATAGTACTCCCTGAGGGGATCACTATATTTAAAACAATGCACTGAATTCACAAGTAAAGTCACTTACTAGATCAAACACGACACTAACTGTAACTAAATAAATGCTGTTTATTATGCTTTTTGATTGTACTTAGGTACTGTATAATCGATGTGTTTGCTTCGAGTGCCGAACAAAAAATGAAGTTAATAATGAAAATAGATTCTAAAATGAAAAAAAAAATATTTATAAAAAATTAACCCTTGACTATAAATAAGTTTTTTTGAAGGTAAATTGAGACTTTTCCATAAGTTGAAGATGAACTTAATGGAAATCCAGTGAAAAACCCTTCTTGACTGAATGTAAAATACAAAATTATTTGATTACTAAAATAACTACGTACTACATGATAGAGTTTTGAGGTAGGAGAGTGCAAATTTAGGATTGTGTGCGCTTTTTGGTAACGAATAATGTGAAAATTTAGTCCATAAAATGGAAGAAAATTTTTAACGGTAGCCCAATCCTACTACTTACGAGCATAAAAATTAAATGTTATCCGATTCTCAGTCATACTGAACATAATTATATATTTTCATAAATATCGATCAAGTCGTTTAAAAGTATTGCCATTAACATCATGACATAAAAATTGTATATATTATCAGCTATACCCGGTCAGGCGTTGTTATGTTATACGTGCAAATAAAATTTAACAAAAATGCGATTTTGTTACATCTAGTTATCAAGATACAAAATAGCGCACCTATCTTTTGTTATTGATTTTAAGGATGTATTATACTCTCTAGACAATATTAGAATACGATGTGTTCATATTATATAACTAACGCATATACAACCAACTAATGAAATATAGAAATTGCACAGTTATTGCCTAACTATATTATATTTTTCTGCTATTTTTTCATAAAATTTTATTTGTTTTTATCTCTTATAATTTTAACAAAATTTGAAATATTTTGAAAAAAATTCCTTCCATGTAATTTAAAAAAAAAACATTTGCAATATTTTAAAATTGTAATTTTTTTCATTTCTCCGATATGACTAGACCTGCTTGCATGCCGTTTGAACCACATATGTGAACATGAGAATTGAATAGCTTGGTACAGAAGTAAAAAAAGGAAATAACTCTTATTTCTAATGACAATAAATACCGGTTTATACAGTTTACATCTTTTACATCTTTTAGTTATATTTTAAAAATAATTGGAAGCAAAAATATTTATTTAAAATATATATATAGCAGGTTTTCGGAAGCACCACTCAAAAAACACGATTTGCGATGACCACTATGTTAGTACATATCTACACTTAAGTAGTACTTATCTAAAATCAAAACACGATATTAATAAATCTAGTAGTTAATCTTAGTAATAGGCAAAATAATATTTATAGACAAAATGGCGGCTTTTTTTTTAAAAAAAAGTCGGTTTTCTGATAAAATTTTGAATTTAAATCGTTTATAAAAATAAAAGTAGTCATAGGATCAAATAATTACTAAAAAATAAAGAAGTAGCTCTTGTTAGAATTTGAGACTAATCGGTTTAGCCTCTTTCTATTGCCGGACTAGCCCCGCATATTTGGTTGTACGGACTCGCACCGCATATTTGTTACATGTTCTGTATTTTCGTCAGAAACAACAATCGCATGGAATTGCGGCGATCAAGTCAACATTGACACACGTGGGTAGCAAAATATTTTGTCATGACATTTTAATATATTTGGAATTTTAATATAGTTGAAAATAATTTATTTTCATTTAATAAATTTCGACATTGGTGACCATCGATAGCAAATTGAAGGTTGCAAATGAGATATAGCCTAACCATTAGTCTTCGGTCGGCCTACTAAACAAGTACGCCCAGTCCTCGGTTCACTCCGGTAGTTAGGGCTACCTCCTACCTTCTGTAGCACTAACTACCGGACTTCTATCGGTATACATATACAATATGCCCAAACCTCGGGTCATCGCGAGCACAATAACTAGCTCTGACCACCGGTCTTGCGCGAGCCAACCAATCCAGTAAGTCAAGACTTCGGGTCACACCAATTATTTATAATGTATTGAATTATTTATAATATCAAAACAAATGCAGTTAAGTACAAAGATCGGTAAAATAGTAAAATTAAATATAACTATCGCCGCAATATTGAACTTTCCTATTTCACCAGTAAGGATGGTTTTAGGCGCCCTCATCCAAAAACGTTTAATTTGACATGTAGGTTATTACGTAATATTAATTTACGTTAGGTTATAATTTATAGATTAATTTATTACATAGCTGTTTTTATCACAAAATAAGCCAGAAAGAAAATGTTGTTGAAAAACTTTTGTTAGGAGTCAGTTTTCCTTTATAGCAAAAGTGATAAAGTTGAAATTTGGAAAAATCACATCAAAATATATAACATTCCCAATTTTTAAACCTTGCGGAAAATTTTTCAACTAAAACATGTTAATGACTGTACTATTTAGTTGCACACAAAGTCCACACAAAACCTCTCGCAACAACATTGTATTATAATATTTGCGATCATATTTTATAGACATTATTCAAGTTGTGATATGTTATGATAATTGTATATTCTCGTCTTTAAAGGTTGCAACTGAAATATATTATAAAGACATTTTAATAAGCTACACAGGAATACCTGGAATTAATACTATTGGTAAACAGAAAAGCTTTCTTCAAAATATACTAATTTATTTTAATGATATTTATTTCGCTGTTCAACAAGAAAAGAGTTTATTTTACATAGTTTTTACATCAAAAAGAATTTAAAATGGCGCAGAGGGAAGTTCCGTAATGCCGGACGGCACCAAGCACCGGACACTCTGTTTAACACGTATTATTTAAGCGAGTATAAAATTGTTCATTTCAAAATACTAGTAAAAGGGGCATGGGGGGCTCATAGGTACAGGATCACGCGCCTGAGTTGCACACGGCCACGGCGAGAGCAACCCTTTCCTGTTTTAGGCGTAAAATCACGGCGTCACCTAAATATCAAAGAAAGTAATTCTATCATATTTATGCAGTTACATATGAGTGGTATGCAAAGATAAAAGTTCTACTTGATTGTTATACATTAAATGATAGAATATTATTAGATATTTTAACCAATTTTAGTAGGTGCTACCAAATGAACGAAAATGCCTGTCCCTTAGCACCGGACACTAAGTCGTTTCTTAGTGCCGAACATTAAACATATTTATATTTCTTGTGAGAATTTACGTAATTTGTTCCAATTATTTAATTTTGTTTTGTATGAGAGCTAACGGTCTAAATACCCCCATTTTTCGTATTTCCTAGTCAAAGAATGAAAAGCTTAGGTAAATGCATCAGCAGAGAGCATCGGTGTGGCCCAGCCAAAAAGGTAGATGAATAGTGACTTTTTTTCGCAATATCTAAGAATATTCGTCAAAGACACATGTGCAGATATTCCAAAGTGTTGAGATGGCTACATATGTGATCAATGCAGGTTATTTCGAAATGTTTGGTACTAGGTGCTACTGTTTAAAATCATATTTTTTTATACCCAAATTTGATTGATAGTATTAATTATTTTTCAGCAAAGATTGCGGTTATGTTAATATAGTTTAATTTCTAACTCTGTTATCTATCATAAATCATAATTTAATAAACATATCGTAAAATATGTTTTGATTTATTTATAAATAACTATAGATGTCCACCACTAGGGAACTTCCCCCTATACATGTTTATGGTGGGAGAAAACAACACTGACAGTAGTGGCGCAATATTTGTTCTATAAAGTACATTTTACATGTCATATAACATTTTAACATATAAAATTTAGTAATATAATATTATCCAACTATTTGAGAAATTAAATGTATTTGCAAGATAGTATACGATATCAAACAAAACATTATTGTATTATTAGACAATATTAAAAACATGGCTTATTTTTATATTATAGTATTGGAAACCATCACAAAGTCCGTTATGCCAGACTAATCGATTGGGTTCTTGGGAAAAACCAAAACTGCAAAGTAATAACAAAGGTGAGCGTATAACATTATTTCTTCATATTATATTTGATTTTTATTTTATTGACGACCACTTACTTAATTACTATAATACTAGCAAATAAAACTTAAATGTTACTGGTTGTTTAATGCAAAGCAATAACTGTTTATTTATTCAAATTATGTATGTAACAAACAGGCCTTAATTTGTAAACGCATCTTTTCTTTAGTTACAGCATTTATTTAACAACTATAACTATTTTATTTTAATTTGTTTTTCTTTGATTCAACGGAAGTCAGATCTCCATAGACCTATAAAATGTTATAATAATTAATTAAAAATCTATATATGATTTTTACTATTAACATTAACATCAATTATACCACCACTTTTCGTATCCTTATTTTTACCACAGTTGCTCAAATGACCCTACCTGATTGACTATTTGAATATATAGAAAGAGAAAATAAGGGTATAACTTCTGAATCTTTTTCATGTGTTCTGATTTGCATAATTTTTTGGAATTAGTTTCATTCTACTCTTAAGTTCAAAAGTGAAAAAAAATTGGACTCCGCCACCACCCCCCGGAAGGTTGCGATCCATTAATGATTAAGTGGACATTGAGCCATTTTATCGCTAGAAAACGTTTTTAATATTAAAGGATACAAATAAAAAGTATTTTTAATACATTCATTTTGCAATAAAATAATCTTCGACAACGTGAAAACCCTAAAACCCTTCAAACAACCTCTAAATTGAACTAGTGGAGCGCATGGCATCGTGCCTTAAGGCAAATTGCTGGAACTTCCCGTACCAACAATTATTATTTTTTTAAAAACGATTAACATTTTTGAAAAAAATTTACTTCGAAAAAATTAGACTTTTGAGAAACTATAAATTTGATAAAAATTTACTTTTTTTTTAAAAAAAATTTTTTGTTTGAAAAATATGTTTTCTTTATTTTGACATATTTTGAAAATTCTGAACTTTCTTTCAAAGCAATCGTACTGCTTTAACTGCATAGCGACGAAATGTCAAAGCGCGTAACCGCCGCGTCGCCGTCTAACGGATAAGCATTGGTACGGAACCCATAGGAATGTAAACAAAATTTATACTTATTGTTAAAATCTCTATAAAATATCTGATAATTTGGTGTGCATATGTCTAATGATCATTTTTGACCGCCAAATGTCATTTTTTTTACTTTTTTCATTAGATCTCCGAAATCTTCAAGTTTTGGCTGGGAATTCATGTTATTTAAAATTGAGTAAAAAATTTGTTTTTGAGAGTAGTTTAAGTTGAAAAAATCATGTGTTCCGTAATCATCCAAATTGTTATTAATATTACTATGTTGGAAAAATCGAGATATTTAGTTAATTTATCATCAGGAGTTTGGTTTTTTATCACCAATATCAATGCGGACTCCTCGTGTTTTAGGGATGTGGGAAAAACTTCATTTGATTCTTTGATATTGTTATTAATTATGACCGAGGTTTTAAGGGGGTATTCTAGTGTAGAGCGTTGAATTTTAGGTCATTTTCAAAGTGTCGTGAAAGAAAGCAATGAATGTTTTTACTATCCATTTTTTTACCATTTGTTTATTAATATTATTAAGATACAAAACAAAAATTAAAAAAATTAAAAAGTTAAAAATTGTAAACAATGGCAACTGATGAAGTGGGTGGTCTCAAAAAATTGGCACCTCAGTCTTGACATGATTTCAGTCCTCCTAGCCATCGAAAATGCAAAAAATAAGAAGATTATTAATCTACAATGATGTCGCAATCGGCTGAACTAGCGATGAGTAAAAAAAAAAATTTTCACGAATTGGAGACTGTTTGAAAAAAAAGTTTTTTTACTGTTTCTTGAGTTTCTCGAATTTTTTAAAAATAATAAAAATAGAAATTATGGGATGAGTTCAGACTATAGATAGATCTATAAACAAGACTATCTGTAAATTTCGAATAAATTGATCGAGTAGAACTCCAGATATTGTTACAAGAGTACTGAAAAAGTAAGTTCTAAAAAAACGCATTTAAAGTTTTGCGTGAAGCCAAACAAGCATGGAGACCGAGTCAGTAAAATGCCTATATCTCCAAAAATAATTCAAATTTTTAAAAACTTTCTCGTACTTATATTCTTAGATAGGTAAACTTTGAAAATATGAAATAAAAAAAAAATCGATTTTTTTGAATTTCTACACTAGAATACCCCCTTAATAGTATTTAAAAAAATTTCAAAATTAATTTCGGAATTAAAATTGCATCTGCATAGAAGAGATAATTTTGGTTTAGAATCGATAGGAATACATGAAATATTTTCATTAGATGCTAATACTTATATATAAAAAAATGAGCGAGATAAACTATCGGCATTCGTATTAGATGATCCATAAATTATATCGAGTTCATATTCTTCTAAAGAAAGCCTCCAGCGCATTTGCCGTGAATTTGGATCTTTACATTTGTACAAGTAGATAAGGGGCATGTGATAATTTGAATGGTTTTCCATAAGGGTAAGGTCGGAAATGTTTTATGCTCCAGACGATTGCTAAAAGTTCTTTGTCTATAGTAGAATTTTTTTTTCTGCGGGGTTCAAGGTTCGCGATGCATATGCAATTGGTAAATCTTTCCCTTCTACATTTTGAGATAGAACCGCGCCTAAAGCAAAACCGTGGTTTAATGGAAGTTCTCGATCGAAGTCGGGATACTGGAGTAAAGGTGGATTTATTAGTTTTGGTTTAAGTTCGTTAAATGCAAGTTCACACTTTTGGGTTCAATTAATATTTGCGTCCTTTTTTAATAATTCGGTTAGAGGTAATGCAATTCGGGAGTAATTTTTTATAAATTTGCGGTAGTAACCGCACAATCCTAAACATATTTTCATTTGTTTTTGATTGGAAGGAGTGGGAAAGTTTTTTACTGAAGAAATTTTATCAGAATCAGGAGACGCACTGTGTGCACCGATAATATGGCCTAAATACGTAATTTCGTGTTTCAAAAAATGACACTTATCGGGTTGCAATTTTAGATTGTATTGTCGTAATTTTTCTAGCACTTCTAGTAATTTGGTATTATGTTCCTCAAGTATTTTTTAGTAGACTATTATGTCGTCCATATAAACTAGAGTTCTAATTCCTTGTATTCCCGACAAAACTGTATTGGTCAGTCTCTGTAAAGTCGCCGGTCCGCCCTTAAGTCCAAACGGTAACAGTTTATACTCAAAATGTCCAAAGTCAGTAGAAAATGCAGTTTTTTCTCGGTAAGTTTTATTTAGTAAAATATGATGAAAGCCTTGAGCTAAATATTGAGTCGTGAAAAATTGTGAGTTACCTAGTGGTCAATAATGTCAGTGATGTTTGGTAATAGAAAAGCGTCCGATTTTGTAATTGCGTTTAATTTTTTGAAATCGACGCAAATCCTCCATTTTTTTATTTCCGTCAGTATCAGGTTTTTTAGGGACAATAATTAAATAAAAATTCCAAGGACTTTGCGAGTTTTGAATAATATCGTCTGCTAACATCTGTGAAACTTGCCTGTGAATTTCTGTTTTATATGCGTCCGGTAATCTGTAGGGTTTTATGTTTATGGGTTTTTCGTTATTTTGGACGGCGATACTATGAGTAATCGTATTTGTATATGCCAGCTTGTCGTTTTCTAAATAAAAAAGATCATGAAATTTTGTACAAATATTTAAAATTGAATCTTTTTCGAGATTTGTCATGTGATTAGTTTTTATGCATTGTAAAAGTTTTTGTATTCTTTGTTTCTTGTCATTGTCATCAAATGTGTAGTTGTAATTTACGTTATTGAACAAACATTGAAAATCGATTGATTCTTGGTTAGATTTGATAGATTTATTTTTATTAAGATTTATAGAGTCGATTATATCAAAGTTGCTTAATAACTCGAATTTTACGTCCTTTGAATTAAGGAACTGACAATCTTCAATTCCTTAATTTAAACAATTTTTAGTAGGTTTTACAATACAGTTAGCTAATATCAATCCGTTTTTATATTGTTTTGAAAAACATACTGCTTTGTCGTTTAATGCAGTTTCGATTTTTCATGTTGTTTCGGATCGAGGAGGGATTAATTGTTTTTCGAAATTAACTAAAGGGGTTGTAAACTCTTGGTTATTGATTTCTAGTGAAAATAATTTAGAATGATAATTACATTTTGCTTTAAATTTTAATAAAAAATGTTTACCGATGGTTCCTGAATATTTAATTGGGAGATTTGATACAACTTGAAACAGAAATTCTATATTTTGTTCGAAAAATTTAAAGTTAATATAAGAAACGCCATGGGTTGTTAATGAATTTGATGTTATTCCAATTAGTTAAATTTTTTTATCTTTGTATACCAGAGTTTCTTTATCAATGTTATAAACTTTAATTAATGATATGTCACTACCGCTGTCTATTAAAAAATTATGAAAAGTATTCGGTAGCTGTGTAGTTTCTAAAATGATTGATTCCGAAAATTTAAATTTATATTCTTACAATTGCTATTTACATGAATGTCCGTCCCGGAACGGGCTCTGGCAAGATTTTTGAACTTGAGGAAGGTGCATTCGATTGGAAATCATTATTTTCAGGTATCGGATTAGGATTATTAATAGATAAACAACTTTCCTGTTTTATTTGCGGAACCGTAAGGATTTGAGTTTGTTAGAAAAAGTTTTTACGATTTGGATGTCTACATTGATCAATCGTGTGACCAAATTTTTTACAATAGTTGCAAATTAACTGTGAATTTTTATGTTCGGCTTTGAAAAAACAATTACCACTGCTATGGCCCATTTTATTGCAAAAGTCGCATGTTAAAATTGAGGTTGAGTCGTTATCCTCGGCAATGGCAAAGTCTATAGCGTCATTTAAATGATCAAATCTACACGATTTTACTAAATTTTTCAATGGCATTTTCAGTTCATTAAGAAAAGTTCTGAGAGCCATTTCATTATAAACATTTTGCAAATTATCCGCGACTGTCTGTTTGTGTGTATCACAATCTTTATCATAAATTCTGTACAA